GTTCACACACACAAACACACACGCACACACACACACACACACACACACACACAGCAAGTTCTGCAATCCTACTGTATGTGTACAGTATGTACATTGAGTACTGCTGTTCAGTTGGCTCGTTTGGGGCCAATATATAAAACATATCAAATATAAATATATAAAACAATTTATTTTTATTTGGATTAATTTGTCTGTCTTTTATCGGATTTACCCATTGTTATAACACCGCTTGTACTTTCCTTAGTTTCTGGGAGCCAAAGCTAAGTTAAAGCTTCTGGTGGCAAAGCAGCTGGAGACTTTTTGACTGCATCAATAATAATTTAGCACGAATCTGGCTATATTCCACAACATCAGATCTCACTATCTTTGATCACAAGCAAGTGGTTTCGTCCAGGAATCTCAAAATGCTTAAAAAAAGAAAAAGAAAAAAAGTTGCCTACAGCATTCATCGGGTCTTGCTCTCCCAACCTACGCTCATGTTTTTATTTATTTATTTATTTCCCCCCCTTTATTCAGTTCCATCACACAAAGGCACAATGCAAACAGGGAAACGTTGCACATCTCAAAGCATGCAAAACAGAACAACAGCAACAACAAAAACGCAAAATTAATACAAGCATATATATATAGCGCGCATCCATGTTGCGCTTGCAGAGGGATCACGTAATTTACCCGGAAACAACAACATTCTCATTTCTGATTGGCTGGTCGGTGTCATTTAACTCTGTATAACTCGAGACAGCTGTGAACTCGGCAGAGAACGTCCCTCCGTGTTCATCCATTAATTATAGCAGGACAAGTCATCCCTGATTTCTCTATTTCTCAGCGTGAGAAGTACAATGTGTGCCGTGAGAGCGCGTGAAATGCGTGTTAAATGTGCGCTCATTTGCATACATTTCTAGAACAAAAATCTCAACATTGGATGAAGCCAGGCTCTAAATTCTTGTTTGACAATATTAGCCTCAAAGGTTTTAACAGATGGGACTTTGGACACTTCTTTTTATCACTCCATAAGAAAAGCCATCAAAAATCACGCCAGTAAAAAAAAAAAAAAATTAGCATTTTTTTTTTTTTTAGAAACTAAATGTTGTATAGGTAAATTATAGCCTATATGAACAAAACCTTCAGAATATAAATAGTAATAAACCTGTAAAGTTTGGTGTGTGCATGTGCTGCTGAAGTGGAGATTTATGGCTCAGTGCAGGAGAAAAATCTCATTTTGAGAAAACAGCCAACAGATATGCATTATAATAGAAATCTACCGACAGAAATAGATAAAGCGTTATAAAAGAAACACTTAAAGGTGTATTTTCCATTAGTCTGAAAAAATACTAAAATTGACAGGTGCATGAAAAAACTGTGTTTTTGCCTGCAGTGTCTCGCCTTTAAAAAAAGTGACCCTGTGGGTATAAGTGGATTATTGGTTGTTTTTTTTAATAATTATTTGGGTGAGTCTTACTGATTTTGAGTGTGACGTCACTACCGCATTTCGACAGCAGTACTAACGTCACGCGCTACTGCAACCACACTTAAACACTCCTTTAATTTGTTTCAAACTCAAATTCGTTGAACTGTAATAAATGCAATAGCTGATATTGATAATTATGTAAATGTAATGTAATTAGGACCGATGATTAATCCACGTGTCTCAGGGGTGGAGACGCGCGAGCCTACAGTCTCCTGAGAGCCGCAGGTCTTCAGACGCTCGGGAGGACCAAACACACTCGGAACGGTACGAAACTTCACTGCTTTCATCACTTCTCTTTTATTATGTGCTTTTCTTTCTATATTCTCGATTTGAGTCTTTCATCGTGTTGTTTCATAAGCGTAGTAACTGTGAAATCAGTCTCAGTGCTGAACTCGTCGAAAACTATTAATGATTTCATAACGTGTTGAATGTACAGAACGATATTCAACAGTTTTTACATTAATATTAGATGCTTAGAAGAGTTTCAGCAAAAGCTTACCATGGCAGGACCCTTTAAATATCATGGTAAATGAGTATAGGAATCATTTTAAAATGTCTTGAAAGTGATCTAATGACAAATAATTTAACATTGATTTTATAACGTTATGCATTTATTTGTTAATTAATGCAGAACTAGGTTGTTTTTTTTAATAATTATTTGGGTGAGTCTTACTGATTTTGAGTGTGACGTCACTACCGCATTTCGACAGCAGTACTAACGTCACGCGCTACTGCAACCACACTTAAACACTCCTTTAATTTGTTTCAAACTCAAATTCGTTGAACTGTAATAAATGCAATAGCTGATATTGATAATTATGTAAATGTAATGTAATTAGGACCGATGATTAATCCACGTGTCTCAGGGGTGGAGACGCGCGAGCCTACAGTCTCCTGAGAGCCGCAGGTCTTCAGACGCTCGCGAGGACCAAACACACTCGGAACGGTACGAAACTTCACTGCTTTCATCACTTCTCTTTTATTATGTGCTTTTCTTTCTATATTCTCGATTTGAGTCTTTCATCGTGTTGTTTCATAAGCGTAGTAACTGTGAAATCAGTCTCAGTGCTGAACTCGTCGAAAACTATTAATGATTTCATAACGTGTTGAATGTACAGAACGATATTCAACAGTTTTTACATTAATATTAGATGCTTAGAAGAGTTTCAGCAAAAGCTTACCATGGCAGGACCCTTTAAATATCATGGTAAATGAGTATAGGAATCATTTTAAAATGTCTTGAAAGTGATCTAATGACAAATAATTTAACATTGATTTTATAACGTTATGCATTTATTTGTTAATTAATGCAGAACTATAGGGATATTCGGCGTTTTTTTACATTGCAAGTTAAAAATTAGGCTACTAATATAATATGCTTACAGTATATGCAGAGAGCGAGATTGCATTATTTTAATATTAATCTGCTTTAGTTTCTTTGGTTGGAGATCCCACAAAAACTTACCATGGGGTGTTGTTTCATAAGCGTAGTAACTGTGAAATCAGTCTCAGTGCTGAACTCGTCGAAAACTATTAATGATTTCATAACGTGTTGAATGTACAGAACGATATTCAACAGTTTTTACATTAATATTAGATGCTTAGAAGAGTTTCAGCAAAAGCTTACCATGGCAGGACCCTTTAAATATCATGGTAAATGAGTATAGGAATCATTTTAAAATGTCTTGAAAGTGATCTAATGACAAATAATTTAACATTGATTTTATAACGTTATGCATTTATTTGTTAATTAATGCAGAACTATAGGGCTATTCGGCGTTTTTTACATTGCAAGTTAAAAATTAGGCTACTAATATAATATGCTTACAGTATATGCAGAGAGCGAGATTGCATTATTTGAATATTAATCTGCTTTAGTTTCTTTGGTTGGAGATCCCACAAAAACTTACCATGGGTTTTTGGACATGTAGCATGTAGGATCATTTAAATATCATTGTATATTCTGTTGTAATCAATCAGTATCATGGTATTGCAATGTAAATGTGCTATGGTGCAATCCACAGTACTTATATAGGCTCTTTCACACTATCAGAAATACAGTGAATATTGTGACAAATGCATAATGCAGTTAACATACAGTCAACAAAATACATGCACGACTGTAAATGGCTTATTGACGTGCTGCTGTTATGCGACTGTTATTGTTTTGTGGTCAGTCTGGCTGTGTTGAAGACTCTGTAGTGAACCTCTCAGCCATGTCCACTTTCAAGGGCACTAAAGAGGCGTCACAAGTGTCAGAGGGCACGGTGCCCACCCTGTGCTTCTGGGACATGTTGCCCGGCCAGGCAGCTGTTTGGTGTATTAATAGGGTCTGTGAGTTTTACACCATCGCTTTCACAACCTCAAGTTTACTTTGTGGCTTTAATCTAACAAACTAGATTTTTGAAGACGTGCAACTCACCCTCACAATGCATTGTGGTTGCCAAGTGTAATTCTAGTCTTTATAAGAATAGAATGTACCTTTTTATCTTAACAATGTGGTTCTGTTCCAAAAACTAGTGTGCAGCCTAAATAGGATGCATTTTAAGGCATCACAGGCATGCTTCAGATTGCGGTGCCTTATTTTGGCCAAATTTAAAGGAACTATTACACATTCCTTCAAATACCAAGGCAATCCTATAATGCACTGTAACTACAGTGGAAAAAAGGAGAGAAATGTTGATTATGAATTTTAATAATAATACTAGTTTATACATAATTTGTGTCTGACAGAATTATGATTATAAATAGAATTTGGTCCAAAAATGGAAGAAAAGTCAAATTATTGGTGGAAAATAGTTGTTGTACGTAATAAAATGTATTTATTATTTATTTTTGTTTTATATTTTTATGCTTGTTAGACTATTGTGTGTATGCTGATGTCTGCTGGAATCATTTGTTCACATGAATCGCGTCAGCTTTATTAATGAGGTTTGATTTGAGTTAGTATGCAGCTGCTCGTGTAGGGAGCTCACTAGGGTTTGGAACAGAACCTCAGTCTGGTTTAGATGCTGATTCATGCTGTATTTTGAGTGTTCCAGATGTGTTTCCTTGGCTGCTGGTCTCCATATAGGGAGATTTCACAGTCGTAACAGGTTAAGGTCTCTTATTTGGCTCAACAGATCACTGTCCTGCAGCCAAACACCATCCTGGAGAATCAGGAGGGATTTCACTGCAATTCAGAGTCAGACCTTAGACACGATCTATAATGGCATATCCTGTATCTGAGGCTAAATCACTAAATATTGATAATGCAGAGGTGTCCAATCCAAATCCAATCCAAACCTGCTAATAATCACTTATTTTGATTCAATACGACTCTCAACTTGATGCTCACATAAACCGATCACATTTTAATGATGCAAAAGATGGGTGCCTTTATAGTTTCAGCTCCATGTAAATTTTAGTTACATAAAATTAAAGGTTAGAATTAAATCTATGTGTATATCATATAGAAATTTGATTCAGATTCGAGAATCAATTTGAATCGAATTAAGAGAATCTAAATGATTCCCCCACTACTACCAATCACTCAGAACACCCTGACAACGCCCTAACAACCAGAACACCCTAACAACGCCCTAACAACCAGAACACCCTGACAACGCCATAGCAACCACTCAGAACACCCTGACAACGCCCTAGCAACCACTTAGAACATCCTTACATCGCCCTAACAACCAGAACACCCTGATAATGCCGTACCATCCAGAACACCCTGACAATGCCATAACAACCAGAACACCCTGACAACGCCCTAGCAACCACTCATAACACCCTGACAACTCCCTAACAACCAGAACACCCTGACAACGCCCTACCAACCAGAACACCCTGACAACACCCTACCATTCAGAACACCTTGACAATGCCCTAACAACCACTCAGAACACCCTGACAACGCCCTAGCAACCACCCAGAACATCCTGACATCGCCCTAAGAACCAGAACACCCTGACAATGCCATACCAACCAGAACACCCTGACAACGCACCAAGCAACCACTCAGAACACCCTGACAACGCCCTAACAACCAGAACACCCTGACAATGCCGTACCATTCAGAACAACCTGACAATGCCATAACAACCAGAACACCCTGACAATGCCTTAGCAACCACTCAGAACACCCTGACAAC